AGTCACCTGGGATCTCATCCAGGTGATGGTTGAGGAGCTCCAAGGATGGAGTCCCACCACCCATCCAGGCTTCCATCCTCATGTGGCAATAAGGACAAGAACTTCCTGGTCCAACCTCCTCCCCAAAACACCTTCAGCCACAGGAGGTCCCTTGGGACACTGTCCAGGTGATGGAGAGTTCCAAGGATGGAGACCCACCACCCATTCACATCTCCATCCTCACGTGACCACAATTCCTGGACCAATCTCCCTTCCACAACACCTCCAACCACACCAGGTCAACTGGGACCTGGTCGAGGTGATGGTTGGGGAGCTCCAAGCATGGAGACCCATCCAGGTTTCCATCCTTATATGACAACAAGGACAGGAGCTTCTTGGTCCAACCTCCTCCCCAAAACATCTTCAGCCACAGTAGGTCACCTCAGACCTTCTCCAGGTGATGGTTGGGGAGGTCCAAGGATGGAAACCCACCACCCATCCACATCTCCATCTCCACTTCCACGTGACCACAATTCCTGGACCAATCTTCTCCCCAAAACACCTTCAGCCACAGGAGGTCACCTGGGACCTTCTCCAGGTGATGGTTGGGGAGCTCCAAAGATGGAGACCCACCACCCATCCACTTCTCCATCCTCACGTGACAACAATTCCTGGACCAGTCTCCCTTCGACAACACTTCCAACCACACCAGGTCACTTGGGTCCTTCTCCAGGTGATGGTTGGGGAGCTCCAAGGATGGAGACCCACCACCCCTCTGGGTGGACCCAAACCACATCCAGTTGCTCTCCACCATTTAGGTCCAACTCTGAAGGTTCTTCTAAAGAAGAGCTCCAACCCCCAGCACGGTGGCATCTCCTCAACCGGTGGCACCCAGGAACCTCCTGAGAACACCCTTGGTCCCACCACCGACAGCATTAATGAAGATCCGTCACCCAACAAGTCCTTTCCTGTCACCACCTGGACCACGTCCTGCTGCTCTCCACCCACCAGGTCCAGCTCTGGAGATACATCCCTGGTCTTCATCTAACCAACATCCCCCCAACCTGGTGGCACCCAGGAACCTCCTGAGACCACCCTTGGTCCCACCACCGACAGCGTTAATGAAGATACACCGAGTCCTAAAATACGTGTCCTGTTTCTGGTTACCACCTGGACCACGTCCTGCTGCTCTCCGCCCACCAGGTCCGGCTCTGGAGATCTCTGGTCTTCATCTAACCAACATCTCCCCAACCTGGTGGCACCCAGGAACCTCCTGAGAACACCCTTGGTCCCACCAGGGACACGGTTGCTGAAGATACATCAAGCTCTAAAAGAGATGTCCCATTTCTCACTGCCACCTGGACCACGTCCTGCTGCTCTCCGCCCACCAGGTCCGGCTCTGGAGATCTCTGGTCTTCATCTAACCAACATCTCCCCAACCTGGTGGCACCCAGGAACCTCCTGAGAACACCCTTGGTCCCACCACCGTCAGCGTTAATGAAGATCCGTCACCCAAGAAGCCCTTTCCTGTCACCACCTGGACTGTGTCCTGCTGCTCTCCACCCACCAGGTCCAGCTCTGGAGATCCCTGATCTCCAGTGCACCAACATCTCCCCAACCTGGTGGCAGCCAGGAACCTCCTGAGACCACCCTCGGTCCCACCACCGACAGGGTCTGCAGGTGCTCTTCACCCCAAAGATCTCCCTGGGCCCCGGTGATGGTGGACTGGAGGTGGTGGTGGCCCCAGGCCACGGTTGGTGGCCCCAAGGAGGTGGTGGCCTCACCTGAGGTGAGCATCATGATGCTGCTGTCGGCCTCGGGCGGGAGGACGTCCACCAGCGCGTTGCTGTGTTTGTGGAGGGCCACCGAAGCATTGGGCTTCAGAAGCTCCCGGTCGATGGTGCTCAAGATCCGCACGTAGTAGTTGGAACCTGCAGGAGAAGGTGGTCAGGGTGTCTCTCACGTGTCACCTCCACCAGGGTTGTCCCCAAGGGCATCACGTCCCCACGATACCCGTCCCCTCACGGCCATCGCCGATCTTCCCCGTCCATCCCCACGTCCTCACCACACCTCTCGCCTTGTGGATGGCCTCAATCTTTTGCGTCCATCCCAATGGCCCCACCACAGCTGATCCCTCATGGCCACCACCAACCTTCCCCATCCATCCCCACGTCCCCACCACACCTGATCCCTCATGGCCATGGTGGCAGTGGAGAAACCCAACCCTTGATGTCCATCCCTTCATCCCCACCACACCTGATCCCTCATGGCCATGGCGGTGGTGGTGGGACACCCCAACCCTTGATGTCCATCCCCACGTCCCCACCACACCTGACCCCTCACTGCCATGGGGGTGGTGATGGGAAAACCAAACCCTTGCTGTCCATCCCCACGTCCCCACCACACCTAACCATCTCATGGCCACCTCCACCCCTCCACATCCATCCCTACGTCCCCACCCCCCCTGACCCCTCACTGCCATGGGGGTGGTGATGGGAAAACCAAACCCTTGCTGTCCATCCCCACGTCCCCACCACACCTAACCATCTCATGGCCACCTCCACCCCTCCACATCCATCCCTACGTCCCCACCCCCCCTGACCCCTCACTGCCATGGGGGTGGTGATGGGAAAACCAAACCCTTGCTGTCCATCCCCACGTCCCCACCACACCTAACCATCTCATGGCCACCTCCACCCCTCCACATCCATCCCTACGTCCCCACCCCCCCTGACCCCTCACTGCCATGGGGGTGGTGATGGGAAAACCAAACCCTTGCTGTCCATCCCCACGTCCCCACCACACCTAACCATCTCATGGCCACCTCCACCCCTCCACATCCATCCCTACGTCCCCACCCCCCCTGACCCCTCACTGCCATGGGGGTGGTGATGGGAAAACCAAACCCTTGCTGTCCATCCCCACGTCCCCACCACACCTAACCATCTCATGGCCACCTCCACCCCTCCACATCCATCCCTACGTCCCCACCCCCCCTGACCCCTCACTGCCATGGTGGTGGTGATGGGAAAACCCAACCCTTGATGTCCATCCCCACGTCCCCACCACAACCGACCATCCAATGGCCATGGTGGTGGTGGGAAAACCCAGCCCTTGATGTCCATCCCCACCACATCTGACCATCTCATGGCCACCTCCAGCCCTCCCCGCCCATCCCCACGTCCCCACCAGTTCCCCGTACCGGTGGTGGAGCCCACGATGGCGGTGTTCTGGTCAACGGCCTCCAGGAACTGCCCGATGACCAAGGGGATGCTCTGGATCCTCTTCACCTCCTCCTGCGCGTGGAGGAACTCCTTCTTCAGGTTCTTCTGCTCGTCCTTGATGTACTCCTCCTGCACCTCCAGGAACTCCAGCTCCTGCTGCAGCTTCTGCTGGGCCACCCGCAGGTCAGGGGAGGTCCTGCCGGGCCCACCCATCTGCCTGCACCTCCTCCTGCCTGCACCTCCTCCTGCCCATCATCCTGCTCCCACCTCCTCCCACCTGGACCTCCTCCTGCCCATCATCCTGCTCCCACCTCCTACCTGGACCTCCTTCTCCTGCCTGTCCTCCTGCCTGCACCTCCTCCTGCCCATATGTTCTCCCACCTGGACCTTCTCCTGCCTGTCCTCTTGCCCACACTTCCTCCCACCTGGACCTTCTCCTGCGTGTCCTCCTGCCTGCACCTCCTCCTGCCCCCCCCAGGCCCTCCTCCGGCCTGTCTTCCTGCCTGCACCTCCTCCTGCCCATATGTTCTCCCACCTGGACCTTCTCCTGCCTGTCCTCTTGCCCACACCTCCTCCCACGTGGACCTTCTCCTGCCTGTCTTCCTGCCTGCACCTCCTCCTGCCCGTATGTTCTCCCACCTGGACCTTCTCCTGCCTGTCCTCCTGCCCACACCTTCTCTGCCCGCACCTCCTCCCACCTGGACCTCCTCCTGCCCATATGTTCTCCCACCTGGACCTTCTCCTGCCTGCACCTTCTCCTGCCTGCACCTCCTCCTGCCCATATGTTCTCCCACCTGGACCTTCTCCTGCCTGTCCTCCTGCCTGTACATTCTCCCACCTGGACCTTCTCCTGCCCGTCCTCCTGCCCACACCTTCTCTGCCTGCACCTCCTCCAGCCCACACCCTCTCCTGCCTGTATGTTCTCCCACCTGTCTCCCACCTGGACCTTCTCCTGCCCGTCCTCCTGCCCACACCTTCTCTGCCTGCACCTCCTCCAGCCCACACCCTCTCCTGCCTGTATGTTCTCCCACCTGGACCTTCTCCTGCCTGTCCTCCTGCCCACACCTTCTCTGCCCGCACCTCCTCCCACCTGGACCTCCTCCTGCCCATATGTTCTCCCACCTGGACCTTCTCCTGCCTGCACCTTCTCCTGCCTGCACCTCCTCCTGCCCACCCGCCCCCTCCCCCCCCCTGCCTGTATGTTCTCCCACCTGCACCTTCTCCTGCCCACACCTTCTCCTCCTGCCCACACCTTCTCCTCCTGCCTGTCCTCCTGCCCGCACCTCCTCCCGCAGGGACCTCCTCCTGCCCGCACCTCCTCCTGCCCACACCTTCTTCTCCTGCACACACCTCCTCCTGCCCATACCTTCTCCTCCTGCCTGTCCTCCTGC